TTTTTTTTTTTTTTGTACAGACAGGGTTTCGCCATGCTGCTCAGGCTGGTCTCAAACTCCTGAGCTCATGCAGTCTACTCGCCTGGGCCTCCCAAAGTGCTAGGATTACAGGTGTAGGCTACTGTGCCTGACCTAGATTTACCTTTTTCATTTCCTATGGTTTCTTCAGATGAAGCCTGAAAGGGCTTTGCTGGCAGTTGTTCTGATCTAGGAACTGTTAAAAATTGGGCAGGCATGGTGGCTTATGCCTGTAATTCCAGCACTTTGAGAGGCTGAAGCAGGCAAATCATGCGGTCAGGAGTTTGAGACCAGCCTGGCCAACATGGTGAAACCCTGTCTCTACTAAAAATACAAAAAAATTAGCTGGGCATGGTGGCCCATGCCTGTAATCCTAGCTACTCAGAAGGTTGAGGCAGGAGAATTGCTTGAACCTGAGAGGCGGAGGTTACAGTGAGCTGAGATTACGCCACTGCACTCCAGCTTGGGTGACAAAGTGAGACTCCAGCTCAGGAAAAAAAAAAATCAAAATTATTTGTAATAAGCCCTCTGCTTTCTCATTTTGATTACCCTGTTTCTTCCTATAAGAAGGCATTGGGATACTTTCTCTCATGTCTTTTCCCCTTTGTAATATCAGTAGAGTCTGCCTTTTTTCCAATGCCCCACTGCCATGCCTACACACAAAAAGCACCTCCAAGAAAGGCTAAGCTGTTGCTATCTGTCCCCTGCCAGAGTTTCCTACTTAAAGGTGTTGGGGGAGGGAGAGGGTGGAGACTGGTGAGTAGATGATAGACATTAGGGAAAGACTTTACCTTAGGGTTCAGTAGCTGGGAGGAAGGAAGAGTTTGTTGAACAGTTGGTCATCAGACTATGCTTAAACCAGAATCCATACTTGGAGACAACAAATACAATGTAAATATGTTTTTATACCAATATTATCTATAACTTGGTTGATTTCTAATTTTTAAAAAGTATCAAATTGTTAAATCTGTAAAAGTGAACAAAAGTGGGTTCTTTTACAGTGCGATGTATGATGTATGGCTTTGGGGATGACCAGAATCCTTATACTGAGTCAGTGGATATTCTTGAAGATCTTGTCATAGAGTTTATCACTGAAATGGTAAGATTTTTTTGTCATTGTTTTTGTTTTTGTTTTTATTTTCTTGAAATGGCAAGATTCTTTCACAACTGGTCTTAGTAATTGAAGAATGGATTTGAAATATTAAACTTAGCTAGGCATAGTGGCTCACGCCTGTAATCCCAGCACTTAGGGAGGCTGAGGCAGGTGGATCACATGAGATCGGGGTTTGAGACCAGCCTGAACAACATGGAGAAACCTTATCTCTACTAAAAAATGCAAAATTAGCTGGGTATGGTGGTGCATGTCTGTAATCCCATCTGCTCGGGAGGCTGAGGCAGGAGAATCACTTGAACCCAGGAGGTGGAGGTTGTGGTGAGCCTAGATTGTGCCATTGCACTCTAGCCTGGGCAACAAGAGCAAAACTCTGTCTCAAATAAAAAAAAGAAATATTAAACTTTAGATAAGATCAGAATTTATGGAATCCCTTTGAAATAAGCTATCCATATGAGTGCTTGTTTGCAGAAGTTACTGTTTACTATTTATCATTAAGGATAGGGGTAGGCCGGGCGCGGTGGCTCAAGCCTGTAATCCCAGCACTTTGGGAGGCCGAGGCGGGTGGATCACGAGGTCAAGAGATCGAGACCATCCTGGTCAACATGGTGAAACCCC